AGGAAGTCTCCCTGCGACAGGGACCGGCAGGTGGACTTCTATAGCCCTTGTCTCCAGGCTGGGATAGCTCTAGAAGCAAGGCAAAAAAAGGCATGAAGAGAGCACAGAGAGCTGTGTTTCTGTCTTGCTACATATCCAGTATTCTCCTCCTTACCTACGGGGAATATGTAAAAGTGGTTCTGAAGCTGCGGGGGCTTTCTCCTTCGTGCGTTCCTCCCAGCCCTTGGTAGGTCTGTACAGCCTGGACGGGTCTCTGGGGACGTGAATCTCGACCTCGTAGTGGAACAAACACAGAAAAATCAGTCTTTGTCATTGGTCACAGAACGAGCGACACGCGCTCATTGAGCCTCCAGCGTCTGCAGAGGCACAAGGAAGCAAAACACGGCTGGAGAGCCAGAAAGACACTTCCTGCCAAACTATCACCGGGAGTGGCAGAAACATGCCAGGAGGCAACTCCAAGAACCCTAACACTGTTCCCAAAACTCTTCTGGAAGCCAGCCCACTTACTTCACTAATGGTAGAAAACCATTAAAAAAACCAAAAGAAAAAAAAACACCGAACACAAATAAAAAACAAAACACCAAACAAACCAAACAAAAACCATTAAAAAACCCCCAAACATTAAAAACAAAAAAAACAAACCCCAACACTCATACTGCAGCTAATTTGCATGAACTATGGGCTTTATGCAGATTAAATATTTTTTTTCTTCAACACAAGAAAAACTGTATCTGCTGCATTTTTATTTCCTGGTAACTTCCTAGGCTTATTATTTAACATGCCATTATTTATTTTATTTTAATAAATAAAAAACATTGTTTTTTTAAAAAATGAGGAAAAAGATTGAAAAAAATTGTAAGTTACCTTCTCTATTAACTTTGCTAACCTCTTCTCTTTTTCTTGTTTCTCTACTTCTTTAGCTTGTTTTTGTAGAATCCTTACCTCCAATTTACGGAGATCCTGAAAGATATAATGGATGGAAAAGCAAACTTACCTTTGGAAATAAAACAATTGTATGAAAATAAATAAGAAGCCTTTTCACAGTTCATTTTTCTTTGTTTTAAAATTATTTTGTCATAATAGAGAATAAAATTACACTAGACAGCTACTTCCTGTAGCTTCTCCTGCACAAATAAAGTTCCAGAGGAAAAAAAAAAAGAAAAAGTAGTAGTTTAGTATCTATTTATAACAACAAACACCAGTATGAATGCTGACAAGAACACTAGCTCTGTGGTTATGACACTATTGTAACCTGCAGGGCCTTCAAACATCTCTTTATTTCCTATCTGGATACAAAAATCAGGTCTTCTGATGTTTCCTATAGCATGAAGAGCAACACAGACCAAGCTGGTTTTCCTTAACATTTTCACATTGAAATAAATAAAACCACTCCTATATGTAGAAATAAATATAGGCTTGAATAATCCTGTAGAACATAGATATTGAGGAACAGGAATATATTTGTCTAAAATAAAGTTTCAAACTGTTTCTTGTAGGTAACAGATGTTGTTATTCATAGTGAATCAAAAATAGATTTAAATGAATGAAACTTGGATTTTAAAAAGTGTTTAACAGATTATACTGTAGGAGGAAGCAGGCAAATTTAAAACAACATGTATAAATAGAGATGTAATTACGCACACGTTCTTGAAACTTAGCAATTTGTTCTGCAGTAATTCTCTTCCTTTCCTCCTTTTCAGCTTCCTCTCTCTTTTCCTTTTCAAGCTTTTCAAGTTCTACCTTTTCTCTCTTCTGCAAGGCATAGCTTTCCAACAGCAACTTCACGCGGCGTTGGCATTCTTTTTGTTGCTTCTTCTCCTTTTCTTTTAGTTTTAGTTGTGATGCTTGTTCCATCACAAGTGCTATTGCCTTCTGCTTCTTCCATGCTTCAATTGCTGCTTTCTGTCTTTTTCTTTCTTCTGCTGCTTTTTGCTTCTGAGCTTCTTCACGCTGTAGCCATTCTTCCTCAAGCATTTTTTCTGATTTTTCTTTCTCCTTCAAGTTCCCTTCTTTTTCTTGCTGCTGCTTTTCCTTCCACTTCTTAATTGACTGTAAGAGAACAGCAGGAAAAAAAATAATCACAAGCTTTTAATGAAAATTTTACAAAGAATCATAGAACCATTAAGGCTGGAAGGGACCTTCAAGATCACCAAGTCCCCCCCCCCCCTGCCATGAGCAGGGAACCCCACCACTAGACCAGGTTGCACAAAACCTCATCCAGCCTGGCCTTAAAAACCTCCAGGGACAGGGCATCAACAACCTCCTGGGCTACCCATTCCAGTTCCTCACCACCCTTATAGCAAAGAATTTCTTCCTAATATCTAACCTAAATCTCCCCTTTCTCAGTTTAAAGCCATTACCCCTTGTTCAATCACTACCTTCTCTGATGAAAAGCTCCTCACAGCTTTCCTGTAGCCCCTTCAAGCACTGGAAGGTGCATTAAGGTCTCCCCAGAGCCTTCTCCTCTCTAGACTGAACAGCCCCAATTCTCTCAGCCTGTCTTCCTAGCAGAGGTGCTCCAGCCCTCTGATCACCTTGGTGGCCCTTCCCTGGACCCTTTCCAACAGCTCCATGACTTTCCTATGCTGAGGGCATCAGAACTGTACCCAGTATTCCAGGTGGGATCTCACCAGAGCAGAGTAGAGGGGCAGAATCCCCTCCCTGGCCCTGCTGGCCACTCTTCTTTTGATGCAGGCCAGGACACAACTGGCTCTCTGGGCTCCAGCACACACTGGTGGCTGATGTGGAGCTGCTCATCTACTAGCACCTCCAAGGGTTGGCACTGGCCCACCTCTCCAGCCTGTCTAGGTCCCTCTGGATGGCCTCCCTTCCCTCTAGGGTGTCAACCACACCACACAGCTTGGTATCATCAGCAAACTTGCTGAGGATACACTCAGTCTCACTGTCCATGTCTCCAACAAGGATGCTAAACAGTGCTGGTCCCAATACCAACCCCTGAGGGACACCACTCATCACCTGCCTCCGTTTGGACATTGGGCCATTGAGCAGAACTCTCTGGGTGTGGCCATCCAGCCAATTTCTTATGCCATCGAGTGGTCCACCTGTCAGATCCATGCCTTGTCAGTTTGGAGACCAGGATGTCATGTGGGACAGTGTCAAATGCTTTGCACAAATCCAGGTAGATGACGTCAGTTGCTCTGCCACCATCCACCATCTCTGTAGCCTTGTTGTAGAAGGCCAACAGATTGGTCAGCATGACTTGCCCTTAGTGAAGCCATGTTGGCTGTCAGCAGTCACCTCTTTATTTTCCATGTGCCTTAGCAGACTTTCCAGGAGGATGTGCTCCATGACGTTGCCAGGCACAGAGGTGAGACTGACTGGCCTGTTCTTGCTGATTCAGTCTGATGATAACATACGCTCCAAGGATACAAACTGCAGATAGGAATGAAGTCTACTAAAGGCAAAACTTAGGACAAAGAAACACCTATGTGTGCTTTCTTACAATTTTTTTTTTCTATTTTATCGATCACATAGAAAGGTTTACTATGTGCCTGCTAAAATTACTTAAGTTATGGCATTCATATTATCTTTGGGTTGTTACAAATGTAGGTCCATATGCTTTTTCAAATGTAAACATATTTCAGGTCTTCATTTTTTCCTTCAAATTAACAATTCTACCCACTATTTTGTAACTCATTTGTGCATGTATCTTCTATTACCCAGATAGATAGTTCTTGAAGGAATCATAATTCTTTGCATCAGTATAGCACAAACATATTGCCTTGTCCTGGTTTCAGCTAGCATAGAGCCAAATCTCTTAGTATCTAGAACAGCACTGTGTTTTGGATTTGGTATGAGGAGAATGTTGATAATACACGGATGTTTTTAATTGTTGCTATTCTTAGCACAAGAAGCTGGGAGGGAGCACAGCCAGATCAACACATCCAAACTGGCCAATGCAATATTCTGTATCGTGCAACATCATGCTCAGTACATAGATGAGGGCTGGCTGAGAAGTTCTGGATTGCGGTTTTGGAATTTTCTCTCCTCTGGGATTGCTAGCTGGCAATGGGCAACATGCCTGTTAAGATGGGACAGATGTTCTTAGGGGCAGATGTACAAGAACTGCAGTTTTACACAGGATCACTTACTGCTCTGGGATAGGAATCTAGCTTGCTGGACCACTGCCATCAAAAGCATTTATAACATACTTTGGCCATTTATAGCCCACTTTGGTGCACTGTTTGGTCTATGCTTATTGGTAATTTTTTAAGACAAATATTTTTTCAAGTTGAAGTTAGACTTCAGTTATATACCATCAACTATAACAGAAATCCACCAGAGAGGCAAATACAAAAATATTAATTGCACATATTTTAAAAATATATGTTATTTCTTAAAACTACAAAAGGCCTAAAGGGATTATTTTACCTCTTTCTTTCTTTCATGTAGAATTAAAAATTGTTGATACCATTTGCCATGCTGCTCAATATTTTCTTTTGTTTTTCCACAGAGGTACTCAAGGGCTTCATCCACATAAGACAGCCTGCCTTTGTGTTTTGTCCATACTTTCAGAAAATTTTGATGATCATAATCATCCCAGCCTCCTTTCCGCCCTCCTGTTCGCTGAAGGAATCTTTCAAATTCTACTACTTCTTCAGGTAGATGATTTTCTAGTGGTTTATCAATTGAGACCTTGGCTGATGGCAATTTCCATTTTTTTTCTGGTGTTGAACTGCGTAACTCCCACAGTTCCACTTTTCTTTCAAAGACACTGAGCTCGTTAATCACAGTTTTTTCCTCCTTCAAAAGCTGTTCATATCTGAAAAGAGAACAACAAAGTGTAAGCAAAGAAACCCAGCAGTCATTGTTCATTCACTGAAAATGAATTTTGGAATTGTTCAATGCTACACAAAAGGTATTCTTCTAAGATTAAGATCTGAAATGGTAACACAGATGACAGCACAGTTGTAATGATCCCATAATAAAGCTCTACACAATCACAATTAAGTTACCCTTTTAGTGAAAGAACACATTTATGGCATTCAAAAAACTAACTCGGTCCCCTCCTGACACCAGTAGAGAGAAGGAAAAAAATCTCTAACCACATAAAAACCAAAACAACAGGAACAAGAACAACAAAAACAATCTAATCTCTTATGCAGCCTTTCTCTGAAAAGCCTTTTCATAAGCAAATGATGGGTAACTGCAATAGCTATATAGTAAAGTCTCTCTAAAAGTCTGTTTATCAAAATTCTACATTGATAGCTTGAGTTTTAATTTACATACCACAGGAATCACTACCAAAAGAGTAAGTCAAAAGGGACAGTTTACTTGATTAATGCAAAGTTTTCATGGTATTATGAAAGTATTTTTCTTGTAGCTGAAGCATGTATAAACATACATTTGCCTCTGTTCCTCTTTAAAAGCATTAATTGCATTTTCAGCTTCTTCCATCATTTCCTCCAGCTTGTCAACAACTAAAAAGGAAAAGAATAAAGCATTATCACTTCAGCAGTCTACAGTCTTTACCAGTAATTCAGCTCTACCCAGAAATGTAGGCACTTGCAGAGACCTCTGACACTTATTTCAGTGTAAAAAAACCCATGCATTTCCATCTTAAACAGCCTTAAAAGACAGGGCTTTTTTATCAAAACGCTGTGATTTCAGTGATTCAGCTAACTGGATGCAAATACCAGTTTACTTACATTACACAAGTCCTACCCTAGAGAATCTTAAACTAATTCTCAGATTAAGACAGCCTTATCCTAAAGATTTTCCACTTCAGGTTTTCTTATAACAATACAGTTAGTGACTTAAGAAACATGTTCAAATCTTTGGATGAAGATAATGAATTTTTATAGAAGAGACACTGAATAAATGAGATAGATTCTATCTAGCATCAGAAAGCCCTCAGCTACTAGGAGGTCTTCAACAGAAGATGTACACATGGTAGTAGAGTATCACAGGAGGTTGGTTCTTTCAGTTCCTATGTCCCAGAAGTTTCAAAACATTCAAACCAATGAGTTTTATCAACATTTTCCACAGAACATTCCAGTTTACACTTAGAGCCATGTGGACAGCCAGAAATGAGTTTCCTGTAGACCCTACTCTGTGACCTCTTATCCTATGAAAGAAAGCTATAGCTAAACAGCACTAGAACACTAAGTTTTATGTAAGGCAAAGAGTTACATATAGAAAATACTTGGTTTTCAAGAGCCTGAATAAACAAACCCAAACCACTTCTACGACAGAGTAAGTTGCTCTGTTTTCAGACAGAACTGCACAGTCTTTAACTGTTGCTTACATCTCTGCCTTCTTCCCTTCCTGGATTCCTGGAAAAGCAGACAGACTTGACAAGGTGTATCCTAAGTCTCCAGAAGAATCACAAACCCAACTATGCAAAAAACCTGTCTATAGAGGAAAATGTTTTTAAATCTGTCATTGTGACTTACATTCTGGTGTAGGCTTCACATCTTTTAATTGATGCTGAAGTCGCTTCACATTATTTTGTATTTCTGATAGCTGCTGCAGGATTTTAGCTTCTGTTAAAGAAAATAAGGTGTAGATAGTTCTAACAGGGGTTTTTTTGTGCATTAAACTCAATAAAATAGCAAGAGCAATGAAGTGTCCAAAATAAACTGTCATTTTCATCTAAATGAGGACACAAATTCTGTTTGATCATAAGAAAATACCATAATACTAAGCATTTTAACATGACTGTAACTGCATGTAGCTGACTGCACAGGCCACGTACCTCCCCACTCAGCATCAACAAAAAAATTAGCTCCTCTTTCTAAAGGGATCAACAGAACAGTCATATCTAGATTAAATCCGGTTTGGGGGTTGTGGGGTTTTTTCCAAACCTTTAATCAAGTAACTGCAGTTCTTATACAGATGACACCTCCTCTAGAATTTTGAGGAAGACTATGACCTTGACTCACCAATGAAGAAAAAAACAACTTGGCAAGCATATGTGAATGTACGACTTTAACAACATGTCTTTATTTGCTGTGTTAACTGAAACAGAGTCAATGTTTTCATGTACTCCAAGCATGCATGCGCTTACTTGCTTTGTTAACACTTGGCTCTTCATGAGTCCATACTCACAATACTTAGAAGGATGGAATCCTGGATACATCTAAGGTACTAAGGTTTCTGGGGACTGTATCATCTATCCTAAAATATTTGGTTTAAGGAAAGGATAACAGAATCCAAAACCTAAGAGTAAGACCTAAAAGCGAAGGTAAGATGTGACCTAAAAGTGTAGGTAAGACATGATCCTACTGACTGTAGTCCGTGTAGGTAAGACTGATCCTTCCT